GGGTTCGAGCCCTGGTCTGCGAAGATCCCACATGCCGCGGAGCAACTAAGCCCGTGTGCCACAACTCCTGAGCCTGCGCTCTAGAGCCCGCGAGCCACAACTACTGAAGCCCCTGTGCCAAGAGAAACCACCGCAATGAGAAGCCCATGCGCCACAATGAAGAGTAGCCCCTGTTCGCCACAACTAGAGAAAGCCCACACGCGGCAACGAAGACCCAATGCAGCCAAAAATAAATAAATAATTTTTTCTTTTTTTTTTTAAAAAGGGAAATTTATTGGCTAAACAACTCAAAGGTCAGGGGTGAAGCTAATCTCAGGGTGGAATGAATCCAGGGACAAGAGCACCTGCTGGCCTGTGGCTGTCTGCTTTTTCCCTATTCCTGAGGACTCTCTGTGCTCTCTCATTCTCTTCTTCTGAAACTTTTTCCATGTTGTGGTAACATGCTTAGACTTTCATCCTTCTAAATGAAAGTTCCTAAAGGAAAGAAGCAAAAGAGTCTTTTCCAGCAGCTCTAATTAAAAACAAAACAAAACAAAAACAAAAAACTATAGCAGGAGAGTTTGGGTCGTCAGATTTACCTGGACCCATCACTGTGGCCAAGGGAATGAGGTACCATTTCTGGTCTGGTCTTAGTCACATACCCACCTCTTTGGTCAGATGGAAGAAGTATGTGCAGCACATACTCCTGTTGGTCATTAAAGAAACTGCAGAGTACTGACCACCACTCCAATGTCTCATCTACTATATTCCAAGTCATAAGATGCATTACTAGTATTATTTTTAAGAGTGATACTTCATACTTATTCAACAATTCATAAACCAATTTAAAAACCTTTTAAAAAACTATATTTAAAGTTGATTCACTCCTTCATAACCCTGTGAGGCACAGAGAGGAAGGACTACCATCCTCAGATTACAAAAGAAGGAACTGAGGCTCAGAGAGATTAACACATTCAATATTACAAGCTGATAAATGTCACAAAATCGAATACAAGTGCTCTTTCAACCATATCATACTATAAGACACAGTAGTCTAAAATTACATTAAAGATTTAATGGTACCTATGAGAATATGGTTCAAGGGAAAAAAAAGCTTAAAAGACAAAATGTGATAAACCCATTTGTCTGAGGCTCAGTACTTCTATTTGGTAGATCTTAATTTTACATCTACTATTATAAGCATTCAGAGGCAAAAGAGCACTATACAGGAAACCACATACCATCAGAAAGCATTTCCTGGTTATCACTTAGCATGCCTTCAGCTGCAAGGAAATAAAATTAAACTTCAAGTGACTGAAAAAATAAGGGGATTTATTATCTCATACAGTAAGAAGTCCCAAGATAAGACAATTCCAGAGTTAATTAATTCCATGGCTCAAAAAGTCCTGAAAAACTCAGGACCTTTCCATCTTTCAACTCTGCCAGACTCGGCCAGCTGTCAAGCTCCCTTCTGGGGAGCAAGTTCATTACAACAGCTTCAGGCAACAGAGCTTCACCCAATAATGTTCAGAGACAGGAAACAGACCCTCTGTCTCATTTCATTCATTTACCTATGTTAAATTAGTTAATATATGTAAAGCATCTAGAAAATGCCTGGCACATAATAAATGTTATATAACTGTTAGGGGAAACACTGACTGAAACCACCCACCCTGGCCAGGCACCACAATAACCATCTGCATGAGTTGTTTTACAACAGGAGGTCCTGGTAAGGAACATGGAACTAACAAGCCACCACCAACTGGAAGAATTTGGGAAAGGTCAATAGGAGACGCCAGTCCATATGTCCTACCAACCTCCCAGAATCCTCCTCACTGGAATCCATCTTGGCTGAGTGATGCGTGCGCCGCCAGGAAGGACCCTGAGTCAGAATGATTGGCCAGAGACAACCCGGAAACTAATCCCATCACCATAAAACCCGAGACTGCAATCCACATGGCAGAGCAGTCCTCCTGGGTTCCCTTACCCTCCTGCTCTCCACCCGGGTGCCCCTTAATAAAGTCTCTTGCTTTGTCAGCACGTGTGTCCCCTCAGACAATTCATTTACGAGTGTTGGACAAGAGCCCACTCTCAGGCCCTGGAAGGGGTCCCTCCTGCAAGAAAAGAATTTTTTTTTTACAAGCCTATATTTAAGAGGAACACAAATCTATATGACCAAAGAGCAGTGAAAGGAACTCTCAGGCTGATGATAAAAGGAAATACCACGATGGCAGATGAGAGGCATGACTTGAGAACAATCCATCCAAGAATGGAGCAGGAGGTCACAGAGTTCTAGGAGGGTCATTCCCAAGAAAGGAAAAAAAGAAATTGGTAGAATACCTGAATGTGACTGACTACAACAAAAGTTGTTCAGTTCTGTCAGAGACTTTCAAGAACTAGAAAAACAAAGAAAACATAAAAACTGTTGCACAGACAGGAAATATTATCACAGATGCTACATGATGTTGCTCTAAATACTGCACACACAAACATAAGCCTTGAATACTGATTTAACCAAAATTTTACTCACTGGGAGGATGCGGTAGGGGGATTGGAAAGAAATCATAAAAAAGCTAAATCCTTATCATACAGTCAAAAATCAACAAAAAAACATCTATAATGTGGGCCCCTTGCCCACTACTTTCTGGAGACAACTGAGTAGATTCTAAATAACAGTTACCACTCAGATTGCTAAACTGTATAACTATTTAGTGACAATTAATTGCTTTGTGGCAGAGGCTAATAATCATCTTAAATTTGAAGGCTGCCTCAGAGACCCAGACTTTCCATAGTTCTTTCTCCCTCTTGTTCCCTCATGGCGTTTTAGCATGGAACTAGCAGGGAAAACAGAGAGGAAGTTATGGTATAAATATGGGTATCTGGTCACTGATTTTGGTTGTATGACTTAATTTCTTTTGCACCTTTATAACTTGGGCAAAGTAGGTATGTATAAAAAAAAAGTAAATACCATAAAAAAAACTAAACAGTGTTATTCAACAGGGCATTATTCCATTTTTAGCAGGGCAGTTCTTTTTGGTGCCCTACGATAGCTCTATGAGGCTTAGAGCACAGGTATGCAAACTAAGGCCTGTGGACCAAATCTAACGTATTGCTGGTTTCTGTAAATTAAGTTTTATTGAAACACAGTCATGCCATTCATTTCATTCATTTACACATTGTCTATGGCTGCTTTTGTCCTGTAACAGCAGAGTTGAGTAGTTTCCACAGAGACCTATGGCCCTCAAAGCCTAAAACACTTACCACCCGATCCTTCACAGAAAAAGTTTGCCAACTCTAATTTAGAATATTGCATGATATTTTGTATCCAATTCCTACCCACAAATGTCAGTATTCCCCAAAAAGTAATTATGAAAACCCCAACTTCACACCCTATATTTGCAACCCACCCTCCCCTACTCCCTACCAGGATGAAGAGTAGCAGAACTTTGAAACACCAACTGCCTCCAGGGAGCAGAACTCAGAGGTTGGATAAGGACAGGAAAGGGTACCAATAGGGGCTGTTATTTTTGTTTTCAAAAAGTCTTGAAATACTAAATCTTTCAAAGTATTCACACATATTCTTCAAGAAAATTAAATTTAAAATCAAAAGAAAACAATAGAGCAAATCAAATCTGGTTAATGGTTCTGGTGACTCTCTAACATAATATGTGATTATATTTGCTAAATATAATTTGTTTTATCTGTTAGGGTTGCTCTGGAGAATTTTTTGGTTGCACATAACCAAAGCTGCTAGATAGACGACCCGCAGATAAGAAAGCTGTTACTGTGCTAAAACTGAATGTGAGTATAATATTTGAAACTCTCCGATCTCAAGAAAGGTCAATTAACCTAATGCATCCTACAAATGATCTTCAGTGAAGTTTGAAATTTTTAAACCTAAAAAGTCCGATAGATAAAATGTTTAATAAATATTACTAACTCCCATAAGTAGAAATTAAGAGAAAAGCTTTCAAAGATCTATGTAGGAAAATAATTAGTTTTCTTTAATTCAGCTTTCTTTTAAGCTGACTGGAAATTTAAAAGTAAAGATGACACTAATATAAAAACATAAAAGATTGAATTAATAGCATGATCAACATCAATACTTCCAATTCATTACTTTACGAGAAAAATGTGATACTGTATATCTGTGGTATGTTCTACCCAGAAAAGAAATGACACATCCAAAGACAGACTGTATTCTTAGGTATGTCTAATCTTTAAAGTGTGCTAATTTACCACTTATTTACAATTTAACTAAATTTTAAAATTGTCTGATTTTCCCATACATAGGAAAACCTTTAAATATATAATTATCTTTGTTAATAGGAACCTAATGAATAAGGCATCAAAAACGTTTTAAAATGTGAAAACAAACATAATTCACTATATAAGCTAAAAATCTAAGATACCACATAAAACAACAACACATTTTAAAGAGTGTAAACAACACTCTTCAGGAATAAACAGCTTACTGTATCTTCAAAAAAGGCATCAGAATTTGTACTTTATAAACAAAACATTACACTGGTAAAGCTTATTTTGAAACGTAGGATGACACAGCTAGTTAAGTAGTTGTGACGACTATTCCTACAACATCAAAATAAACATTTTAATATTTCAGTTTGAAAAATACAGTCTCCAAAGGTTTATTCTACTGAAAAGATTCAGCTGTTGAATTATGACTTACAAGAAATAGACTTAAGCTATAGTTTCCCTTGTTATAAAATTATAACTGCTCTGTTAACCTAGCTTTCTTCAAAAGAAATGCAAGAAAAAATTTAATGCTTTCATAAAATGCTAACTGTATTCATAATCCTGGAAATTTGGTTTATATTTTAACTGAAAATAATTAATCTAGCTACTTTGATAATGTGGAGTAAAAAGTAGAGAAAAATATTTCTAAGCACCACCTTTCTTATTTTCGGTAATACTTGACATAAATCCATCGTATTAAAAAAAAGCATGCGTTTTTAGAACAAAAACATTTAAAAGGTTAAAAGCTTTGACTATCAACTTACCTTCTTTTGATACCACACTATAGCATCTGTGACTTTGGACGCCATTTATTCCACTGAGATCACACATTCGTCATTTTAGGCTGTGCAAGAGAGAAAAACATACAAAGGACTTGACTTCCACCTTCTAAAAGGAGACTGAACAACATGTATACATAGCACTCTGGTTACTTGCACAGCAGGGGTGTATGACTATACTTATATTACACCCTTCCTCATTACTATTTTAGCAACAGGTTTCCTTAAGTGAACAAAAATCAGTTGCCATAAGAAAAGGATCTTTCTACATGAATATAACACTTAAATTTTCTTACAAAATAGTTGAATTGTTTTTTTAAAAATAAGTCTTTTAAATAAATTTCAGAATTTTCCAGGTTATACTGGAAATTTTTCATTTGTAAATTCACATATGATAGGAATCAATCCATTCACTCAGTAACAGATCAGTTTTGCTTCAGCTTCTATCTAGGAACTAGCATCAATTACAGTTGCTAAAGGATGGCTTGATAGAGATTCCAAAATTTATAATCATATTTAATTTTCCCTGATGCTCAGTAAACACAAAGTTGAACTAAAATCAAATAGCTAGAGAAACCTAATTAATGTATGTTAAATACTAAGCTAATATTAGAGTTAATTACACAGGAATAGCTACTATTAAGGACTTCTCAGATATCACAGTTTGCTAACCTTCAGAAATTTACCACAGACTACTTCATAAGCATCTTTCTGGATACTAAACTTAATGGTTCCTTACTCCTAGAGAAAATTAATTTCAGACTGATTCCAGTTACCTCTGGAATACTTTTCTAGTCTTAATACTACACCAGCATGGAGGGCATCTCTGGCAGGTGTTAAGGATGAGCTTAAACAGGTTCAAACGCACAATTCATTGCAGAACTCATTACAAATTAGGATCATCCAAGGCCAAACAGGATCTCAAGAAAATTCTGAGAGTAGAGCACCCTGCTCAGCCAATCCTAGCACATGCAGATCTGCAACCGGCGAGATGCTAACACTACAGAGTTTGCCCAGAGTAAACAAAATACCAGAGGTTTTATACTCCATTCTTGGGAGCATATAAGGATTCAAATATAATGACAATTATCACCAGCAAGTTCAAATATTCAGATCAACTTCTAAAATTTAAGGCAGAATTTACATACTGACTGTATTTTTTTTAACTTTTATTGAAATACAGTTGATTTACAATGTTGTGACTGCATATATTTTTGACAGTGTTAGAGACCAGATTATTTATTACCTTTCCTAAGATACTGATTGCATCTTTAACTGATCAAATTCAAGTAAACCATATTTTGAAAACCTCATAAATTCCCTGGCATCATGGAAAGAGAAGGAGCATAGAGTCAAAAGATGAGAATTCAAATGGTTCCACTAACTAATATGCAATATTGAAGAAGTCACTTCACCTCTATGATCTAGTTTCTTTCACTTATAAAACAGGAGTAACTGTACCTATCTATCCCTTATAGAGTTTTTGTGACTAATAAATAAGACAATATACATAAAATGCTTACCAAAGTCTAGTACATATAGATGGTCAATTATAATTATTTTATTAATTTTATATTTTAAAATTCCCCAATTCAGGAACTGGGAAATATTTATATTTCCTTCTTTAAACATGGCAAACAGGTTAGAGAAGAAAAACGTGCAATCAGTTTTTGTTGACAGTTAAAATAAAAATAGTTACCTGATTATCCTAAGACTGCAACGTCAATTCTCCACTCCATACACATGAATTATTTAGAGATTTCAAAGTTCACCTCCTCTGAAGTTTCTCAGTCAGATGTGGCTACCTTTATTTCTCTTACCAGGGTTCTGGGGGGAAGCTTGTCCTTACTGACTTAAAATCTTCCATTTTTTGTTTTTCTGTCCTGGAGGTCTTTGGGAGTAATTCATTAACTTAAACCACATTTTGTCCTAGAGGTTTTACCTTGATTCGGTCAGCAGACTATTCATTACAACATTACACCTTCATTATAATTGTCTGTGAAGACTATAGTTTATGTTTTCCAAACTGGTTATAACTCTCCTCCCTCTCCTGTCCCCACCTTGCCAAATGCAAACTACAAAAAGTATGAAAATATCAATTTTTCACTTTACTGTCCTTTAATCTCACCGAATCTTTAGTGACAAAAATTCCAGCTTATCTACCAAAATAAAGATCCTCTTTCTAATCCCCAGTGGTGTAAATAATATGCATTTCATATAGAAAATGTGAAAGGATTTTTTATTCACCCAATCTATTAAATATATAAGATATTTAATATATTTGGGGAATATTTAAATGGTCATATAAATAGTATTTTTTTTTTTTTTTAAGAAAAAGCTTCAGTGGAAGTGAGGAAAACAGTACCTGGTTCAAATAAAATAATCTCAAAGTTTTTTTTATATACTTTGATTTACACCAAGCTACACTAAGAAATAAATTTCGAAAATCAACTCTAACAGTACACTAGGTACATAAAATGTTCTAAATATTTTAATTATATTCATTTGGATTTACGGACATAAAATTTCAATCAATTTTGTTTAAAAAAAAGAAACACAACCTTTCTTCAGGTAATGGTAAGTTCTGCTCTACAAACTCATTTAACAGTTTTTCCATTGTGTCAACAACCTTTCAGTGACACGGAGTGGCTCATATCTATTTTTAAAACAGGTTTTACAGCATGCTAAGACAGATTCCTGAATCAGACATCTGACAAAGCACAGACACATGAGTACAAACAAGAAATAATAAATCAACAAATGATTTCATGAATAATAAAGATTATTTCTAAAGCTTTTCCAACTTCTTTAATTCTAACGGTCCAGGAATACAGGTTTATAGTATCTTTTATCATGATAGTTCATGATAAATACTTTTTATGCTAAATTGACACTAAAATTAATTTACAGAAAAAAGTAGAATATTAAGCTTATTGGGTACCTTAAACAGAGGATCTTAATATTTTTGATCAAATAATTTGATAGAAAAATGATATTAAGATATAAAAATAATCCAATTGTGAAAACACAGAGCTAACCATAGGCATAACAGTTAAATATTGCCATAGACAGTTACTCTGAGCTAATTCTCTCGACGCTGCTTTAGTCATCATACTTGTCAAAACATCTGAAATTACTCTTTACTATGTCAAGGTCTACACAAAATGCATTTATAATGCCAAAGACTAGGATAGAAGGAAAAGATGACTATGAAGAGACAGTATGTTAAGTCTGCTTTAATAGAATCTCACTATCAGGGGCTTGCCTGGTGGCGCAGTGGTTAAGAATCCACCTGCCAATGAAGGGGACACAGGTTCGAGCCCTGGTCCGGGAAGATCCTACATGCTGTGGAGCAACTAAGCCCATGCACCACAACTACTGAGCCTGTGCTCTAGAGCCCGCAAGCCACAACTACTGAAGCCCGTGCCTAGAGCCTGTGCTCTGCAACAAGAGAAGCAATGAGAAGCCTGCTCACCGCAACGAAGAGTAGCCCCCGGTCGCCACAACTAGAGAAAGCCCGCGTGCAGCAACGAACACCCAAAGCAGCCAAAAATAAATAAAATAAAATAAAATTCTAAAAAAAAAGAAAGAAAAAGAATCTCACTATCAAATACCCACAAGTATTCTGTGCACAGATATAGCCAAAGAAAAATTAAGTTTTTAACCATCCCCTATGTTAGAAAAAAAAAAAAAATCAGTCTATGGAATACTACATAATGTTACAATGTACTTCTCTCATAATTCTAAAACAAATTTCTCTGTTCCAGCATGACTCTCACTACTCTCAGAAAATAATTTATGCACACCTCTGAAACTTCACTTGTGCTGTAATTCTCATTCCTTTTCTCCACTCATCCAACCTTCTAGATCAGTTCAAATCCTACTTCCTCTAAGATGAAGCTAGCTTTCTGTAAGTGTTCATTTGGAACACTTGAAGCTGGATGTCTCTTCCAGCACTGATTTGTACTAATAAATCTGCTATTTAAATAAAAATGCAAAGCAATATAGCCACACATGTCATTCAATCATATGTAAACACTCTTAAGGATAAAAAGAGGCATCCTTCTTCCTTTGTGTCTCACTAAGTACCCAACACATTATAACATGCAGAAGAGGAAGGAGAGCAGAGAAAAAGCAATGACTAAGCATCAGGAGAACTGGGTTCTAGATTCAAGTTCTGACACTAAGAGCTAGGGCTTTTGAATTAGTTACTGAGTTCTCTGGGCCTTAGTTTCTTACCAGTGCCATCTAGTCAAATATTCCACAACTCAATAAAGGTTAAATAAAAATTCGAATAATGTACAGGAGTTCTTGTGAATTCCTTTACTAACACACCCAAAAATATTAACATTAGTTAAATCAGTCATACGTATTTGGAATCTCATTATTATGCTATTCAGCAACCTTGTGTCACTCCCCACTGCACTTAGAATTGTATTTAGACCCTCTAAAGTCTCACACTAACCCCTACTTACCCAACATTATTGCTCACCGTCTTCTCATACATCTGTTTCAATCATACCACACTTCCTACACTTTTCTACCTCTGTGTCAAAATTAACAGTTCTTCTCTTTCCAAAACAAGGAAGATTTCAAGACGGCCTCCTAAATTCTACTTTCTCTGTAAGTTTCTCCCAAATTCCTCCATTAAATACTTCTCATCCTGTTCTGCATTCCCATTACACTTAATATGTTCTGCTTTGTACAGACTTCTGTATACTTGTCTTTATATGTGCCCCTACCACTATCCATAAGTTCTTTGAGAGCAGTCCAGTCAATGTCTTTACTACCTCAGAACTCTCCGATAGCTTTCTGTATATATTAAGCACAAATGTTTACAAACCAAATTAAACAGCTGCCAACCAAAGTATTGGTACCATCACAGATGAATGAATTTAATTTTTCTATCAACTGAAAAAAAAAAAAAGAAAAAAGCACAACAATGAGAGTGGTCAGTTAAGTTTTATTTGGGGCAAAATGAGGACTACAGCCTGGAAGACTAGCCTTTCACAAAGCTCTGAGGAACTGCTCCGAAGAGGTAGGGGGCGAGGTCGGTATATATGTG